GATGGCTCAATATCCATAATGTCTTGCGAATGAAGTTTTCAATAATATACAAGACAATAGTACGTCTATTGCAAGTATAATCTTACTGTTTCTTGTTCATTATTATTTTTTATGTCATTAGGCTTTTTTTGTGTATCAAGGCTCGGACAAAGTACTTATGAAGTCGTGTAATGCATCATTCCAACAAATCCACTGAAATCGTCATAGTCAGTGGCCATCGTTGCAAATCACACAATTGAGACAACAGCGCTCAGTGTTTCGCACTGGCGCTGACAAAGCTGCATTCCAAATACTCTCAAGTAGAAGTACCGTACCACACTTCTTTCAGGCAAACGATGCCCTCGTGTTTGGTACCGGCAGCAAAAAAGCACAGCCTTTTTTTGACTATGCACAAAGTCACGAGATTCATATCTCGATAAATTGGCAATGATTCCCCGACAAAAGGGTTGTGCCTATTCTTTCTTCAACGTATATCACGCATACGTACAAATTGTTGCCCAACCAACTCCAAGCCGTTACTTATTAGATCAACTTCGTTTGATATTTTAATTATTCTCTGTCTAAAAAATTCTCCATCTACGTCGCACGCTTGAATATAATCCGATAACATAAAATTATTATCGCTTAGCGTAGGTGGTTGGTTTTGATTTTGCGGTGGACGACTTCTCGACCGCGGAATTTGATCGGCCGGTTCCATTAAATTCGGATGTTTCTTACGTTGATGTTGCAAAAGTTTTGCCTATCAAGACATATGTTACATAGCAAGAATAAATATATTGTATTGAAAGCTATAGTGCTTTTATTAAAAATATATTCTAATTTGATTTACCTTACTGGCATATTGTTTATGACACCATTGACATCCTTGAGGCGTAGTTGTAATACTACCAACCGTCTGACTGAAAGTTGGATTAGGCAGATTCGAATATTCTGATTCTTTCTGACGATTACTCGGTGGTAGAGCAGCACCCGGATGATTTTTCATAATATGAGCTTTACGTTTGCTGCTGCTTTTATATACCTTCGTGAATTAATACAAACAAAGATTTACAGAAACAGATATCGTAGGATTGTAATATCATTGCACTATAATACGATACCTTATCACAATATTGACAATAATAATCTCTCGTTTGTCGCAAAATTGGTAAATTTAATTCGGGCACGGATTCTGGAGCAACGTCTGGATGTCGTTTTGCCAAATGATTAACGAGCATTCCTCTTCGCTTAAATCCTACTAGACATTGATGGCATTTATATATGAAACGATTGTAATCATTTGGATTTACCTAATAAAAAGTACATACATTAATATATATATTTATTTAAACTATAAAAGAAAAAAGAATATAGATATCTCGATTATATACCTTTGGCACAAACTTTTTTACTTGATTGTTTTGTACTGTTTGTTCTTGATTCGTTTTTTTCGAATTGTGCATTCTAGTCATGTGTTCCTTAAGTTTATCTTTTCTTTTAAATTGTCTTCCACAATTAGCACAGTGAAATTCTCTGTATATAACAAGTGGACGTATGTATAAATGAATATTAATTAATATAATATATACATCATTTATGATATGATTAATGTGTGTTGTTTACCTGTGATCAGAATGTTTGAGTAAATGCATTCGTAATTTATCCACCGTAGGAAAACGCTTTGTACAAAACTGACACTTGTGTTTTCTTTCACAATGATGAGCTCTTATGTGTTTTCGAATTACCGAATATTTAATAAAATTTCTTTGACAATGAGGACAGGTAAATGTATGATCTCCATTTCTATGCGTCTCAACGTGATCTTTTAACATCACGCCTTGATCAAAAAATTGTCTGCATATTGGACATTCATACACTTGCTTATTTTCTACAAAATTATAGAAATTATTTTTAAATATAATTATTTTTAAAACAAGTTATAATATAATAAATACTTATTAAAAATTACCTTTATGTGTTTTTAAGTGACAAGATAAAGCAGAATTATTCATGAATCTTTTCAGACAAATGTTGCACGGCAGTGGCTTTTGGTCCTCGGCACCATGCACCAAACAATGTTTCTGTAGTCGTACTTTTGTAGCAAAGCGTTTATAACACATTGAGCACTTATATGCAGCAACTACTGATGTCAATTTGTTACTTTTTGGCAAAGATAATCTAGCATGTTGCGAAACATGACTAATTAATTCGGACTTTTTTTGACATTCTAATCCACATTGTGGACAAACCGTCGATTGACAATTTATCTTATTGTCTTCCGGATTGTGCATGAGATTATGTATTTTAAATAGAGATAACTTTTTGAAGATTAAATTACACGTACAACATTTTAATTCTTTACAATTATTTTGTCTAGCATTTTCTTTTTCTTTTAAATTTCTGCCTCTGTACAATTTCATACGTCTCGCATGATTGTAAGAATTGTTATCCGATCTTGGCCAAATACTCGCGCTGTTGTTATATTCTAATAAAAAAAAATATATAATTAAGTATAAAAAATAGAAAATAAAAACAGATTTAATTATTTGTACCTTTGTCATCTTTCACATCAGGTTTCAATATCATTAAATTTCTACGTGCTGCATAATCAGGATGAGGTCCTGCTCTTAGCTCTTCTTTTGGTAAAATATTTTTTGTAGTTAAAAATACGATTCCACCCTTCTGTTGGCAAATCACTAGATTTTGTTCTTTGTATGTAAGTGCAGGTCTCACAAAACGCATCCAGTTTGAAGTATCTGAAAAATATACACATTTAATACTTTTTGGAGCTCTATAATTATGCACGAAAATATGATCACCAATACTCACTTTCGTCTGAAACATCAACCTTCAAAAATTGTCCTTCTTCTGCTTCATAAAGCAGTGGTAATGCATTTTCAAACGGTGTTCCATCATAACTGTATAAAATACCTTCGATAGGACCAAATTGTGTTCGCCTACGAATATTGCGTTTTGCAAAAACTCCATATTCCGAACCACCCAAAATAATATCCACAGTGGATAATTTGTTTATAGAAAGATATGATCCTGGCAGTGTAGCTATAGCTCGTGATGGTACAGGTTGATCGGCAATTGTACATACATTATGAGAAGTGCAACCATCTTCGTTGGTACAAATACCTTCACATTCATCACACCCTGAATAAATTGAGATTTTACAATAAAAAAATGTATGTAATTAATAAATAAATTAGTTACAAATAATAGTAACTTACAAAAATTTTTGTCATCGTCTATTTGTTGCTTAGACTTCTTAGTATTTTTCTTATCGATAGATTTTTTTTTATTCGCATGAGATAATATTTCATTAATTTGACCCATTTGCTCATTGGCTTCCGTTATTGACTGAGAATTACTTTCTTTCGTTATATTCTTTTTTTCAGATGCATTATTGTTATGATTATCTCCCATTGTAAAAGTTTGATTTTTCAAAGAATTCATTACATTGACCTGCTCATCTTGCATTACTACATAATCTCTCGTTAAAGCAAAATCTGTATCTGGTATACCCGTTAACATGAGCGGAGTTGTGTTGTGCTCCAATTCTGCATTAGGCTCTGCAAATATAACATCATATTATTCAACACTGCAAATATCAAGTTATTAATACTATTTACCTTGCATTAATATTAATTCATTTCCGACTGTAGAAACTAAAGTTTCTTCATTATCTTCATTGATAAAATCTGTTCCAGTATCAGTTTGCGCATCTATTGGATGTGTCAATTGACCCACAAAATTGATACTTGATCTTACATTGGATTCAGTTGTAGATATCAAAGGGGAAGAAGGACCTTGTAGAATAACAACAGAATTATGAAAAGGAGACGGAGGTAATTGAACTGGAGTTGGCGAATACCTAGCAGCAGAACTCATATTAGGATCAAGTGGACTAACGCGATGTTCAAATTCGGAAAGAGGAGACGAAGGTCTGGGAGAGAACGAGACCTGCTCGTACGTTGGAAATAAACGAGAATAATCTTTAGATTGATCTGGAACATATTCAACCTGATAGACAAATAAAATGTTATCAAAATAATGTTATTTCTTTAGAAAAAAATTTTCTGATTGTCAGATTGTACTCACAGTCAAAAATAGTAATCTATTATTATTCATCTTCTTTGGTTGTTCATACATTGCCGAGTTAATTGGGCTATCAATTGGCCAAGTTACCGAAGTGTCAGCAACTTTACCAATGTTGGACATATCAAATGTGTCACCAGGGCCCCCCTCAGGAGGGCCCCTTGGATCCATTGTATTGTATCTGTTCTGTCAGTAATATTACGATTTGTCACCTATTTCATAACAAAAGTATATGTCAAACGTGCAATTACTTATTCTTTTTTTTTTTTTTAGAAAAAAAAATCTACTAAGAAATATATGACAGATTTAGGCTTGATTAACCATGATTATTCTGCGAATATATTCCAAAATTCAAACGCATGACACGTTGACGATATCGATTTGCAATTACTAATTTGTGTTTTCTTATTTTATGTTTGTGTATATATTTTGTCACACAAGAGTCTTACCAGCTTCAACATAAATAGAGTTTTACGAGCAGATGATGCACTTTCAAGCCTACGATGCACTTGCTGCAGCAGCACTGGCTTGACAACAATTGACGCTAGCGATTTCCATGTTGGCAATTAACTGTGTAGAAATGGCGGGGAAAATTCAAATTCATACGAATTCTTATATAATACATTTTCTCATTTTTATCAATATCTGAAAGAAATATTAATGAGTAAACTTATTAACGTGTAATCTGTCTCAACGTTTGTTAAATATTATAAAAATAAACTTATATATATTTAATTAATGTTAAGTTTTTATAAATAATTGGGAATTTTCATTAATTTTGAATATAACAAATTATACAGGTTTCTCAATTATTAGTATTAATAATTAATAAAAATAAGGTTATATAGATGATTAGGGTTGCGTGCATAATAGCAATTTTATAAACTGATTAGATATATAGGGCTTGACCAGTTTATCGAAACTCACACTTAGAGTTCCCTTAGCAACAGAATAAACACGCATAAACAACCCCAAAACCATAACCTATTTTTTTTTCTCTGATCTATATACGTCAAATGCTTCGTTAACAAATCAGTTAGATTTAATTGTTTAGTTTACGGTGCAACGAGATAAAAAGTATCATTAAAACATGGTACATCTCGAGGAGGTAGATGACCTCGTGAATCAAATGATGAAGGTGCCAATTTTTTCACATTCTGAAAAACAGAGATTATTAGAAGATGATAACAATATATGGTTTCTCGATCCTAATTTAATTATGGATACGAGACACAAAATAACTCGAGAGACACTAAACAATCCAGATGCAAATTGTTCTGCTTTAGCAGAGGCTAAAAGGTAAAATTAATTTGACTAACGTTGTACATGCCATATTACGTGCATGTACCCCTATTAATATTTAATTTCAAATGTACTCTTTATTTTATATTAACAATTAACAATTAAATTAGGTTGTTGAAAGAAAAAGAAATTAAGGAAATGTGTCTGAAGAAGGAACGAGTTTTTCTCGAAATGGAATTGAGAAGATTCGAGAAGGAACTTCATAAATCCCGCCCAAAATTTCTACGGCGATATGAATGCAGGAAAAAAAATCTGGCTAATTCAAATGACCAAGATTTCTGGAGTATATCCAACAAAATAGAGATGGATATTAAAACGGTCAACAAATTAAAGGTGAAATCGTATTGTTTTATTATGGAATTAATTCAAAATATCATTTTCTATGGATAATTATTAATATTAAATTAATATGAAATTCTCTAAAAAGGTACAAACTTTTGGAACGAAAAGCAAGCAAACATCCGTAGAAGAATTATTTTCGATATTTGAAAATTCTAATACCAATGATATCGATGAAAATGATGAAAATGATGTAAACAAATCTGTCGTAAATATCAAAGTAACTATCAAGAATAAAATTAATTTCAATTTGGAGGAAAAACGATTAAACCTAATGAAGATATATTTTGAATTTTTAAAAGAATATTCGACAAAAGAGCGACGATTTCGAGAGATAAAAATAAAACTACAAGAGAGCATGGCTTCGAAAAGATTAAAAAGATACTTTAACTTTTGGAAAACTTACACCGAGGATAAAAAAAATACTGCAAAAATAAAAAAAGAACTGCAAGACGTATCTCATGAACGAAAAATTGAACTTTTTATTAGCGAAATTACGGAAAAGAAAAAGAAATTAGGCAATCATTTTCAGTCGAAGATAAAAAATAATGTATCTTTTAAAATCATACAAGAAAACGAAGATAAAAAGAAATTAACTCGTCAGAAAAACAATTATCCGTTCCAGTCTTTCGTAGAAAATCGTTTGAATGCTCAAAAAATTATAATTGAAAAGCAAAAATCTAAATTGGCCGAACAGAATAGAATTATCGAGGAACTGAAATTGAAACAAATTCAACAAGAATTGGTGACAATGGATAAGGAAACTATGAACGTTGCCAAAGAAACTTTGATGAATTGTGGCCAAAAAACAAGAAGAACTTTAATTCTATTAATGAAGCAAGCTGGTTACAGGTAATCTATCTACCTCTAACATACCTAATATATATACTTAACCCTTTCGTTATTAGCGACTCATGTACAAATTATCCATACAAGGTCCCCACCGACCCATATAGGAGTCGTAACATATAAAAAATTATATTATTAATATTAATATATGTCTAACTCTATATATAGTTGGATATGTAAATAATATTTATTATTTTCTTTATTAAGAAATAAATGTACGACAACATCACAACAAACATCAAATCCAACAAAATTTATGATGAGAGTGGAAGCTCGGGCAGAGGTGAGAAGAGAACGATTAAGAAAAGCGGAAGAAACTCGTCAAAAAAAGTTGGAAGAGCAGAAGTTGAAAGAGGAAGCAACTAAACTAGAAGAAGAAGAAAAAAGGAAAAAGTTACAGCAAGAGGTCAGACAATGAAATATCCAAGTACTTATGCTAGCACACAACTGCTTTATTATTATTTATCTTATTATGCTTATTATTTATCTACTTTAATGTTTTTTCGATCGATAGATAAATTATTTCGATTTCAGAGTATGCGAGAAGCGAGAAAGCTGCGTGAAGAACAAAAAAAGTGTAGAATGGAAGAATTAGAGAAATTAAAAAAATTAAATTTGATGGCCAATCAATTTTATCGCAAATATTTATTTCGACATTATGTAATAGAACCGTTTAAGAAACTCATCAAAATAAGAAACGACAATATTCGAAGAGCAAACGATCATTATAAAAAATTCTTGTTACTCCAAACTTTGACTGCCTGGAGAAGGGAAACGAAAGAACAGTACCAAATCAAACTTGAACTTGCCATTTCCTTACACAATAGGAATTTATTATGGTACACGTTTAAAGATTGGACGGATATGGTAAAAGAAGAAAATATAAAACATCAAGTGGCCAAAGATTTCTACGATATGAAATTACAAGAGAAATGTTTCCGTGCATTGAGATCTATTGTTGCCATAATAAAATTAGAATATCTAAAATACGTCAAAATTGCAGAGGAACATTACAATCATAAACTTGTGAATAAATATTTTAATAAATGGAGAGATTATCCTACAATAGCTGAAATAGTTAAAGAAAGTGAAAAACAAAGGAATAAGTGGAGAGAAATAGTACAAAAACTAGTTCCCGATTTTGATCCTAAGGAGAGAGGAGTAGTGCTAGAGGATTAAGATTAATTATGTAATTGATCGAAACACTAAAAATAATATTTATGAACTATCTTATACGTGGTGTTTTCACATCTTTTTATCATAAAAAATATGCTTACTACTATACGCTAACGATATGATTAGTTTCACAGATAGAATAATCACTTTTATACAATATATAGTTCAAAGATTTTATATAAATTATACATATTTTTGATTTTATATTTCGTTTCTAAAGAAATAATTAATTAGCACGTAATAAGTACTTTATCACAGTTACAATAAATGTATATAAATACTAAATATAGTAAAATCCTGACACAATAACCAGAAATTTGATTTATGATTGATATACTATTATTACGATATGCCATTATAGTGCTTGATATACGTAAATTGCTATTAGTATATCACACAGTTTATGACATATCCTCGTTGAACGTAAAACCATTCCTAGTAAAAAGTGTCGTAATAAAGACATCGAAAAATACAAGTAAACAAATAATATTATCGATAAAAGAAATATACTAGAATTTTTTAAGTACCTGGCTTGACGATCGTAGTTCAAATTGATTCATAATATTGATGGTCATTTTATTCTCTTGGTAACAAATAAAATATGCTCTGTACAAAGTACAATATTCTAGACTATTTATCATTCGTATCTAAGTCTTGCAACAAAATAACCGAGATACATTTTTTAAGATTCCATGATCGTATTGATTTCTAGATATTCGTAAACGACGCTCGTTCGACGTTGTTCCAAGATAAATAAGCCAGAGGTGATGAATTAAGTAACAAAATACCACTAGGCCAACGAGTAGGCTGTAGAGTGCTGAGATGAAGCAGATAGCAATGCTAAAACAATATGTACATTATATTATATGTATATCGATGGAAAAACATGAAACCAATAGTTGCATCAAAATTATCAATAAAAATTTTTTTATGTTTTTAGAAAGAGTAAATAAGAGATATTCTAATATTAAACTCTCCTATTATTGCAATTTTTTGAAAATTAAATTTTGCATTATAAATCCTCCATATGTTTCCAGTTTAGTTTAACTAGTTTCAATATAATTATATATTATAAATTAAATTTATTTAAAAGAAGAATTCACAGAAAGATAATTCAAGTACGAATTATTTCAACTTATGTATAAAATATTCATACGTACTCTAACTGATGATAAACATCACTGCAGTCGTCTGGTAAGAGCACCGTACCAATTAAAATAAAAGGATGACATACTGTTGTCATAGTTAGATTAGAGCCATAAATAAAAGCTGTCGCTGAAAGTAGCAAGCATCCAAGATACCACTGTAAGTTACTGGAACCGATGCAACAATCCAACCTTAAATAAAATCAATTTAAAAAACATTCATTCTTACAATTGTCAAGATAAGACATTTCCAAATATTTATACGTACCATTTACAATGATATTCTCTATTAAGTATACATGTTTGACACATTCGGCAGTGATAAGCCTTAGGCGGTGCTCTTCTTCTACAAGTTACACATAGCTCTCCGCTTCCTTCCCCAAGCTCTAAACCTTGCTCCGTAGCACCTTCTTGAGCAGCATGATCCGCATTAAGTCTTGTCTTAAAGCCACAATATATGCCTCCGACAACGCACAGTATAAAGAACAAATTTTCCTCTGGTAATATTTCAAGTAACGGCACAACACTGACTTCAAAAACTACCATCAGCATCAACACGCTCGTAATCGTCCACATGAGAAAAAATTTTGTTCTTAGTAGAAACCTCAAGAAATTATGATGCAAATAATATACTAAAATAGGCGTTGCAAGAAATATTACGACGGTACAAAGAAATGACTGGGCGGCGATTATCGCCAAAAGGGGTACCGTGAATAGCGGTATCATAGCGTCAACAGATATTTGTTTAGCACCTCCTCTCCATCCGCATGGATTTCGCATTCGTTCCCAAACGGTCATTGTTTATGTGATTAATACAAAACTCTAAGAAACTTTCTCGCATGCGTACGTTTTCTCTTAAACGAGAGGTTATGTTTCTCTTCTCTTACGTTAAATCTGAGGAACGATGATTTATTTAGAATTTAATCTTTCTTTTTATATTTCACTAAAATATATATTTCACGAATAAATTGTCGATAATATTTACAAATAGTACAATACAATTTAGCTGAGAAAATAAAAGAATCGATCAATATGAAAACCATACGTCGAAAGCATTTTGCTTACAACCGCGCACCACTGAAGTTACACATACAACTTTATTTTGATCGCCTTTCAAATCCTGCTATCAATAAATGAAACGTATCTCTACATATCATTAAAAATCATAAATCTCTCGATCGAATTCTAAAATAATATGTTTTTTTCTTTGATTAATGGAAATGTACTAATTTTAATCCTATTATTATCCAAAATTTGTAAGTACAACGCTTAGTCATTTCTTTGATTTAAATTATGCGGTAAATTTAAAGTAAAAGTGATCGATGTCATTAGCCAATCAGGTTCGAGAGAAAGAGAGAAACAAGATCAAGTTGGTTGTTACCGACTGAAGTTGTTGAGAGTCATTTGTAAAGAGTTGTCAAGTTGCGAATACGTTCTTCATGGCTCATAAAGATCGTTTTACCGTTATATCTGTACTTATGATCAAAAAGACCCACGATAAATATAAATAATTAAATAAGGTGAAAAAAAGAAAGAAAAAGAGAGGCAATCGTTGGCTTGAATTTCTTAATTAGGGATTATTAACTGTAAGCACCTTAACGGAGATTAGCATGACGTTCGCCGCGATTTAGTTTCGTACGATAACGGATACAGTGGCGGGAACGTGACGTAAGTTTAAATTTCACGTAATACGCGCGTGTATATAAAAAAACAGGATTCTTAATGAAATAAGAAAAAAAATAATTATCATATCCTTAATTATCCCGGATTCTCCGATTCTTTTGTTATATAATCTCTAAGTTCAACTGATTTATTGTGCATTGATTTGTTGTTTATCGTATGATTAGTGAGCTAAATCGTAGCTTCACCAAAATGACAAGTCAAACACACATTCAACAAGTAAATATAAATTATTTCCAATTTACAATACACGGGTAGGTAAGAATACTCCAATAAATTATTGTACATGTTTATGCGTCGTATGAAAAAATGATAGATGTTTTGATGTTCGAATTGGAAGTCTATTTACAATTAGTCTCTATCTTCACTGACTAGGAAAATTACTAAATGTAATTACTAAAATATACATAGTATATGTATTTGACCTCCCTTTCAATATACTCATAAATAATTCCTTATATTACTATCATTTTCATGAGTTTGCTTTTTTTCTTACTATTATCTAGAAAAGAATGATTTTTTTTCACTGATTCGCGTTTCTTGTTATCGTTTTCGCCGAGCCGAGGCTAATTAAAGAACAACGGTAGGGTAAAACACCATTAAGATAATTCTTTACCAGAATAATGAGTTCACTGTACACACATCGAAGATTAATCGATATCCCTCGATTCAATATATGTATATGTACTATACGCTACGGTTTCAATCGTTTTGCACGTGTTACTTCCGCTTATCGCTTCATACAATTTTTTCCTTATTAATTTTGCATCAGCCATTTTGTACAGCAATAGATAAAGAGAGAGAGAGAGAGAGAGAGAGAGAGAGAGAGAGAGAGAGAGTGAGAAAAAGAGAGAGGGAGAGAAAGGGTAACCTCTGCAGATTATAAGCGCGTAGTATTTATCATTCGTTGAAATCTCTAGAAATCTCTCATTCTCTCTTTACCGGTAATTATCATATCGTTGATAGTTCAAAAGATCGATCGTAAATAGGCTAGTCCTATGATTTATCTTAAATATTATATATACCTGTACAAAAGATCGAAATAGAAAATAAATACAAGGAAGAATAATAACGACCATGACTAACATCGGTTTGTTTATCCAGATCGAATTTTAAAAAGATAACGATTGCGATTAAGTTAATTTTTATACAAGTTTGATGTCTTGCCCTAGACACCACAATTCTAAAATAAGATATAAAACAATATATTAGTAACATCGATCACATAGATGAGCAGCAAAGCATCATTGAAAATACAAACGCCAATTATCAGCGATTACTCGTCGACTGTCTGTCAACTTTTCAAACTGTTTCCTTTCTAAAGGTTGCTATTGTAATCGTTCGAAATAGAATACTATAATGTTTTCTTCAGAGATTGAAATATATTAAAATTATATTAAAATATTTGTTTAGGTTATGTAATTTGTATTGCAATGCTACAGTGATAGGGTTAATTGCGATTAATTACATTGGATAATGTAATCATAGGGAATTTTAACCGGAATATAAATAGCTGATGTATTTCTATTTTTCTTTTCTTTGATTTGATTTTTTTTCTATGATTTTTGTGAAATAATTCTGAGTTTAACAGACTCGTTAATTGTGAATCCTGACAAGAAAACATTCCATAGGCTGATCAAAGTAACGTTGGCGTTATCGCGCGTTAGAGATTTAATACAAGAGAGACTTTATTATCACTTATTTCTATGTTTATTTGTTCTATTTTAATTGGTTTGACAGGACGGGACGTGGGAGACAAATGTGAATCATAAGTTTTCTTCACACAGAAAGATTGGAATAATCTTTGGTCTGCGGGAGGCTTGACTATATCCACCTCCATCTTCAACCCCCACCCCCATTTCTACTCCCTACTTCGATCACATCCTTTTGCTAGCTTTCTTCATCGTCTCAACAGTTCACATGACGATCCTGAAGAGTCGCAACATCATAACATTTAAAACGGGATTCTAACTTGATATTAGCCGATCGTGCGAGTGTATTTAATAATACTTGTGCTAAATTAAGTTAGGCTACGCTAAAATCAAGATAACTTATCAGTGATTATCTAGATTTCTTTGATGAATAATATATATATATATATATATATATATATATATATATATTCTCATTAAATTGATTTCGTTCGGTTCAATCGTTAATTCTGTGAATTTTTACTTTTTGTTTGTTTATAGAAATCGATCAAAGAGTGTGACGTAGTAAGTCTCTTACACTTTCGTGTAAAAGATCAATCTGGAAGTATTTTTCAGTGTACAAATTCAGAAAAAACTGATAAACGAATCACATGTTTGGCATCTTAGTGTTGACGTAAGAAGACATATTTTAATATAGTACGTAAGAAAACCTTGTTTAGCCAATTATTTTGGGTCCTTGACAAAGATATATTGAATTTGAAAACTTTGTAAGAGTCTTCGTCGTTATTGGATCGATCGAGAGAAAGGATAAATAAAAGAGAGAAAGACGAAAAGAAGAAGAAGAAATTTACAGCAAAGAAGGCAACGACTGTTGGTTTCACTAATGTTGTATCAGAAGGTCGACAGAGCTCGAGAAGATTATAAATCAAAACTACCGCGATAGCAAGGGTCGTGGACCGGGGTCATCCAGTGGTCGAATGTTGAGTTCATTAACAGTAGTAGAGATCAATCCTCCTAACCGAAAATTATTGGCTATTCAAAGCTAAAAATTGATCAATTATGATCATAGGCATTGTTTGATTCGTTTAACCAATTACACTGTTGATTATTTCACTCAACGACGAAGAAATTTTTAATATCGAGGACCTGTTCGATGTCCATTTTTTCTCCCTACGGCTTCCAAAGAGGACGGGGAAGTTCTATAAATGGAAGGCAGAGGAATGAATCCTCCTCGACTCGTTATCGAAGGCAAAAAAACGGACAATCGTATGTTTCGAAAGCTGATAAAGAGGATGCAACATGTTATAGTATGGGAGTAAGTCAGTCGATAAAATGTATTTAAAGGTCTCAAAATAGACCCAAGTCTATTAGATTTCAATGCTAACGCAAAACAGGGATGTCTAACGATCGGTCATCCTTTTTATGTTCCAAGAATAAATCTACCTTCTTGTTTCTTTTTCATTTTTTTGCTTCTACTTTTCTCTTTCTCTCTATTTTCTTCGTGTTTTGCTTTATTTTCCGATCGGTCGACTTAACGCGTTCTAGGTACACAGTAACTTTCAGGCTTCCTCTGAAAGGCTAGAAACTTGTTTCTCCGCAGGGTTTATACAGGGAGGGGGTGTTACATAAGTGTAGTAGACTAGCTAATCACGAATACGTATGGAAATATGCACATGTACGTGCAAGTTACCGAAGAGAAACTTTGTCAACAGTCGTGGAACTCTGTTATAAACTTGGAAAATACTTGCTTACACTACGTTTCCTTTCTATTTCGCCTTATCTTTCTGCAGTAGTACTACATCGTGAATTCCTTCATCTTTCCAGATTGACATCGATCAATTCGAGGTAGCGACTCAAAAAGAGATCCTGGAAGAAGATCCGATCTTGCAAGAATTTGCTGCTGGTGATTCCTACGATGTGAGTAGCTTCGAAGACGATGGAAGATTAAAAACCGTCGAGTCTGAGGGCGAAGACGACGACGAACACCATCACGAACACTTAGGAATGTCTTCGAGTTCTTCCGATAAATTGCAAATCCTTTGGGATCACTTCATCCACGCCGAACCACTGAGTTATGAGGTATAGCTATTCACATTCCTTCATGTTACATTCTATACGCATACCGGTTTTAATGGAAAAAAATTATTCACATTCCTAGATTACGTAAATAATCAATTTTTATAATAATCGAATATTTATTTTTCGTCATTTGTGATAGTATTATTTCCTACAATGTATACTATCGATTATTTGTATTAATCCAATTAAATATTTCATAACCTACCGGTTAATCAAGACCTTTCGCATCTTTGCGATTGCTATTTAGAAACTTTAGATATTTTAGAAAAAATATTATACCCTTTGAAAATAATTATATCTTATAAATATTTAAATAACGTTGAATATTAATGAGAAGATACGTAACTTCAAATACGTTTTATTAACAACTAACAATAAGATTGATAAGGTCTACTTTTCATTTATTTATTATTATTTTCTCATTTATATATATATATATATATATATATATATATATCCTCGTTAGCATATAATGAATGCGTACGTTAGATTTTTTTTTATCGTCACTTCCGATTAATATGCACTCTGCTAATTTTCAGCACGTATAATTTTGCAAGGACTTTGCCATTGATTCTTTCACGGTTCTCTCCCACCTTGCTATCGTTTAAAGATGACCTATAAGTTGTCGTACGTTTTTTTTGTCGATATTATGTCACGGTAGTTGGAAAAAAAGTATAAAAAATAAAAAAGAAAACACGTTTTTTTACCAGACAAATTAATCGCTATCAGTTTATGATCGCATGGTTATATATAAATATCGAGAATTAATAATGATTTATTTTATTTTGATTATATCCGTGATTATATTTGCGTTATATTAAATTTCTATTCATACTTTATGAATTTTGATGAGCAATTTAACGCAATATCTGTCAACATACATATGTATATTTGTAGTCCAGGCAACAAGAGGAGAACTTGGAAAATTTAGCTAGCCGGGCGAAATTTGATATAATGATAATTCAACGACGCTGAATCGAATGGTGCTATTTTTTTTGCAAT